GTTTGTTGTAGGGGTGAAGAAGAAGACGAAGGTCATCAAGAACAGCATCAACCCCGTATGGAACGAGGTGAGCGCCACCCTTTCCCCCCCGACCCTATAAGGGATCCTGTGAGAAACCCTATTGCAACCGGGGCTCTTCTCTCTTTGTAGGGTTTCGAATGGGATCTGAAGGGCGTCGCTTTGGACCTCGGCTCTGAGCTGTGCGTCGTTGTCAAGGACCATGAGACCGTGGGGAGGAATAGGTGGGGAGAAGGGGGAAAAGGGGGGGAAAAGGAGGGGGAAAAGGGGGGAAAGGGGGAGGCTTTGATCCCAATCTTCCCCCCCATGGCTCCGATTTGCAAAGCCTGGGGGGAAGGTTGTGGAATTTAGGATCGACCCCCCTTGGGGTCCCCCACCCACCCCGCTGTAACCCTGCTGACCCTACAGGTTTTTGGGGGAAGCTCGTGTTCCCCTACGGGATGTGCTGTCCTCAGCCAGCTTGGCGGCGTCCTATGATGTGCCTTTGTTGGATAGCAAGAAGCAGAACACCGGGGTGAGGAAGGGTGTGGGGATGGAGGTGGGGTGGGGATGTGGCAGTGGGGTGGGGAGTCAATGGGATGGGGAAATGGCAGTGGGATGGGGAGTCAATGGGATGGGGAGTCAATGGGATGGGGAGTCAATGGGATGGGGAAATGGCAGTGGAATGGGGGCACAATGGGATGGGGGCACAGTGGGGTGGAGATTCAATGGGATGGGGGCACAATGGGATGGGGACTCATTGGGATGGGGACTCATTGGGATGGGGACGATGGGATGGGGACACAAAGGGATGGGGACATAAAGGGATGGGGACAATGGGATGGGGAGTCAATGGGATGGGGACTCAATGGGATGGGGAGTTAATAGGATGGGGAATCAATGGGATGGGGGCACGGTGGGATGGGGAGACAATGGGATGGGGAATGACAATGGGATGGGGGCACAATGGGATGGGGACAATGGGATGGGGGCACAATGGGATGAGGACTCAATGGGATGGGAACTCAATGGGATGGGGACACAGTGGGATGGGGACAATGGGATGGAGGCTCAATGGGATGGGGACGATGGGATGGGGGCACAATGGGGTGGGGGCACAATGGGGTGGGGACTCAATGGGATGGGGGCACAGTGGGATGGGGACTCAATGGGATGGGGGCACAATGGGGTGGGGAGTCAATGGGATGGGGACACAGTGGGATGGGGACAATGGGATGGGGGCACAAAGGGATGGGGGCACAATGGGATGGGAGTCAATGGGATGGGGAAATGGCAGAGGGATAGGGAGTCAATGGGATAGGGATGTGGCAATGGGATGGGGACACAGTGGGATGGGAAATCAATGGGATGGGAAATCAGTGGGATGGAGGACATGGCAGTGGCACGGAGACAATGGGATGGGGACGTGGCAATGGGATGGGGACACAGTGAGATGGGGAAATGGCAGTGGGGATGGGGACTCGATGGGATGAGGACAAGGCAGTAGGATGGGGACACGGCAGTGGGGTGGAGACGTGGCGATGAAATGGGGACACAGTGGGATGGGGACAGGGCAATGGAAGGGGGACACAGTGGGGTGGGGACACAATGGGATGGGGATGTGGCACTGAAATGGAGACATGGCAGTGGGATGGGGATGTGGCACAGGGATGGAGGCAATAGGATGGGGACGTGGCAATGGAAGGGGGACACGGTGGGGTGGGGACACAGTGGCAATGGAAGGGGGACACGGTGGGGTGGGGACGTGGCGCTGAAACGGAGACATGGCAGTGGGATGGGGACGTGGCAATGGGATGGAGACTATAGGATGGGGACGTGGCAATGAAATGGGGACACAGTGGGGTGGGGACGTGGCAATGGAAGGGGGACACGGTGGGGTGGGGACCCAGTGGGATGGGCACACAGTGGGATGGGGGCATGGTGATGAAATGGGGACCCATTGGGATGGGGACGTGGCCGTGGGACGGGGATGTGTGACGACTCTCCCCTTTCACCCAGGCTTCCCTCATCCTGCAAGTCTCCTACACCCCTCCTCCGGGCGCTGCCCCCCTCTTCCCTCCCCCAGCCCCCCCCGAGGCAGCCCCGGCGGCGGTGGCGGAGCCCGACACGCTCACCGGTAATGCGGGGGCTGCACGGGGGGACGCGTCCCCCATCGCCCACCCCACAGCGCCCGGGGACCCGCAGCAACCTCCCTGCCTCCCGCCTCGCGCAGAAGCGGCCACCGAGGAGGAGGGGGACGACCAGGCGGCCACGGGGGACGAATTGGAGCCCCCGTCCTCGGGGCTGCCGGGTTCGGAGCCGCCCTCGCTGCCCCGCAGACCCCCGGCTCCCCGCGGCCGTGGGGTGAAGCGCAGGAGGAGCTCGCCCAAAAAACCCCTGTCCAACAAACCGCAGGACTTCCAGGTGAGACCCCTGGTCGCTCAGAACTCAGCCTGGGTGTCGTCAGCTGCGAGCTGACCCCAAGGTGTCCCCTTGAGGCTGGGCCGACCCCCTTCTCGTTCCTCCCCCCCCCAGATCCGGGTTCGGGTGATCGAGGCCCGGCAGCTGCCCGGCGTTCACATCCGCCCCGTGGTGAAGGTGACGGCGGCGGGGCAGAGCAAGAGGACCAGGATCCGTAAAGGCAACAGCCCCCGCTTCAACGAGGTGAGGGGGGGGGAAATGCAGGACGGGGTGCGAAGCCAAACGCACCCAACCAGTCCAGCTCTCTTTGAGCCACCTCAATTCTGGCAGCTCGGTTCTACCCGGTGCTTATTTTGCTGTTCTTCGGTAGCCCGACCCTTGGGCGCGTGAGCATGGCGCACCTTTACAGCCGTGTTCTTCATTCGGGCAGCAATTCTTGCCCCAGCTCGGCAGCCCAAATAGGTTTCCCCCTTCTTTGCCCGCATTCTCCACCAAAAAGCATCACAGAGCTGGCTGGATCGATCCGTGCCCATCACAGGGGGCAATAGGCCCCTGCCCTCCCCCCCTCTACCCACCCCAGCCCCACAAAAATGGGAAGGAAGGAAGGAAGGGAGAGTAAAAAAAGCCAGCAGCAGCAATCTATGGAGGAGAACTGCTTTTACTAACGCAATATAATACAATCTAATTGGAATTGAGACTAATAAATCAAATAAGATAGGAGACAGAAAGATCCTGAGGCCGAGTCAAACCTGCAAAGCTTGGAACGGCTGGGAAAGCGCCTCCAGTGCCAGGCAGGAAGAGACCAACCCAGGCAGAAGGGCCAGATCCCACGAGCTCCATGACGTACAGGGATGGGTACCCGGCATTGGGGCCATTGGCGCTGCGATACCCGATGCACCACGTGATGTTTTAATGCTGAGAACCCAACAAAAAAAACCCCAAACCCCCATAAAAGCGTGACGTTGAGCATCGCCCCGGTGCCCCACGCTGGGAGCGCCGCGCTCCATCGCCCCTCTTCCCCGCAGACCTTCTTCTTCAACGTCTTCGAGTCGCCGGCCGAGCTGTTCGACGTGCCCATCTTCATCACGGTGAGCCCCCCGCGCCGTGTCCCCCCCCCCCGCCCGGCGATGTGGC